CTTCTAAATATTCTTTTATATGTGGTTCAGAGTTCTGGGACCAGCCTCTGAGCCTGCTTGGTCGGGTATTCTGTGTTGTTGTTGGGGGAGCTCCTTTACTGCACTTCCACCCAACCGCCATTTTGTTTGTTCCTTGAACCTCCATTTTTAAATAACCGAAAGTTGAGTGTAAAATGCAGCCATGCTCAGGATATTTTAATCTCCCACCTCCGAGTTTGCCCCAAGGTGGGCATGAAAGATGTGGGTGCAGAGTGGTCACAGATGTCTCACTTGGATGAGATGGGTCTAAGTAGCTGTCCAGGGCCATTGCACAGGTACTGTGCTGCCTTCTGTCTGCATGTATGTAGGGCAGGCATTACAGGTCCTGGGCTCAGGCAACATCCCCCAACTGCTGTGCTTGTATCGTGGCAGCCCTGGGCACAGCCCTCTGCCCAAGTCTCCTCTTGTTTCTGGAGGACATACCTGGGCACAGATTGGCTACAAGGAAGTCCACTACTTTCAGGCCTTATGATAAACCACTCCAGAGCCAACTATTTCAGTTTAATTTTTGATTACCAGGGCACTACCAAACTTGACCCATGACATCATGACTTCTTGACCATGGTTTATATCTGTGTTAAACAAATATGATCAAAAGGAACATTTTTTTGGATTAATGAATTGAGGCTGAAATTCACTTTTAAGAAATTTCATGAGAAACCATGATGGATGCATAGGTTTGCTATGCCAGAACTTGAAACGCAATATTGTCTTTGCTTTGGATATATGTGTATCCATATTCTTTGCGTGGGTGGCCTGGTGTGGCAGTGGGATAAGCACTGGATTTCTAACCATAAGGCCAGTGGTTCAAACCCACCGACCAATCCTCTGAAACAATATACAGGGTAGCTATGAGTTGGAACCAACTGACCAACTCAGTGGCACTTAGCAGCAACAACCTGTTTACATAAAATGTATTCCACTAGATAATCTTTAAACCAAAAATATTCCTTGAATTCTTAAACCAAACTGTTTAACTTCACTGGTAAAAGATTGTCTGTTTTGAGCATTGTGTTCTTTTTTTAAGTATATATCTACGGCACTGTTGGATAAGCACTGGACTGCTGGGGTTGGCGGTTTAAACCTACAAGCCACTCTTAAACACATACACACAATATTGAGAGGGGAGGGTTGGTGATTTTTTATGTTCTTAAAATTGGTTTGTACTGTGCATATGTGAGTTGGAAGTGACTTGGCAGCACTTAACTCCACAACAAGGATCAAATTGCAACTAAACAATTTAGATGGAACCTCAAGGGCAGTGGATTTATGTCAGTAGGAGAAAGAACAACCCCTAAAAGGAGGGTGAAAATGGTTGTACAACTCTAAAAATGTCACTAGTGTCACTGAATTGTACTTGTAGAAATTGTTAAATTTGTGTTTGTTCTATATATAGTGTCAACAACAGAAATAAATGTTCTTTTAAATTGTTAAGTACCATGGAGTTGATTCTGACTTAGTGACTCTGTATAGGTTTCTCAGGGTCGGCTGGTGAGTTTGAACCGCCAACCTTCAATAGCTCAATTCTGTGGTCCAGTACTTGTCCCACAGTGCCATGTAAAACTGTCAAATGTATCAGTACATTCCAAAGTTACCTTTGCTTTTTGTTGCAGATTTTGACATCATGGCAGGAAGGCATCAGAATCGGGGCTTTCCTCTGTCAGGGGTTCAGTCAAGTGCTCAAGTAAATGCATATGGCAATTGTACAGATAGCGACGTGTTAGAGGAGGATGCTGAAGTGTATGAACTTCGATCCAGAGGAAAAGAAAAAATCCGAAGAAGTACATCAAGAGATAGACTTGATGATATTATACTATTAACAAAAGATATACAGGAAGGAGATACTTTAAATGCAATAGCCCTTCAATATTGTTGTACAGTAAGTATTAATTTAATTTTGCATACTACAGTCCAAAAATTATTTGTTCATTAAACCAAATTGACATAAATTTAATGTTCTTTTATCTGTTCTTCCATTTTTCTTCTTTCCTTAGAAATCTGAATCTTGTGGGTGGATGTTAACATTTTAGTGTTTTCTATGACTACTTGAATTTCTGTTTATTTGTAAACCCATAATTCCATTTTCAGAATTTAAAAAATCCAACAACCTTATGCTTATTATATTTTTCTTCTTAATTACATTGTAAGAGAATATAGAAATATGTAAAAAGAAAATTTTCCCTTTCCCAGTTTTTGAGATAACTAATATTAACACTTTGGTGTACATCTTTCAATTCTTTTTTTATAGTCTTAAACATATGCACACTATTTTGAGAGGAGAGGGTTGGTGATTTTTATGTTTTTAAAATTGCTTTATACTATGCATATTACTCTGTAAGTTACCTTTTATATTTCTGTTACAGCATTGATATCTCTCATACCCATATAACTTTTTTATTTTTAATAGCTATATAATGTTCCATTAGTATGGAAGTACTGTAATTACTTAACTCTCACTCTACTTATAGGTAGTCAGGGTTTTTGCGGTGTTTTGCATTGTGTGGTGAATATCATCATGCATGACTATATCTTTAGATGGCAGAGCTCTGGTAGTGTTGTGGTTGCGAATTGGGCTGCTAACCCCAAGGTCAGCAGTTTGAAACTACCCACTGTTCCATGGGAGAAAAATGAGACTTTCTGCTCCAGTAAAGATTTATAGCCTCGGAAACCCTGTGCAGGGTAACTATGAGTCGGAACCGACTCCAAGGTACTTAACACCAACAACAAAAACCTCTGTTTTGGGAACACGGTGGCGCCATACGATAAGCACTGACTGACAACTGCAAGGTTGTTGGTTCAAGCCCACCCACTCTGTGGGGGAAAGATAAGGCTTTCTGCTCCCACAAAAAATTTAAAACATCTTGGAAACCCTATATAGGGTCACTCTGAGTAGGAACCAACTCAATGGTACTTACAACAACCACCACCACCTCTATTTTAGAGAGTAGGTTTATAAAGATGTGGGTGCTAAGTCAAAGGAAAGATACATTTCTAATTTTAAATTCCTTTTCTTATCTGTTATTGTGTTCATCTTGGGAAAAGTTTGATCCATGTAGTAAGAGAGTATTATTACAAGGTTTATAATGGAGTCCTGGTGTGGCACTGTGGGCTAATGTGTCAGACTGCAAAGTCCTTTGGACTGCAAGGTGGTGGTTCAAGCTCACCAGCTGCTCCTTGGAAACCATATACAGGGTCGCTATGGGTTGGAATCGACTCAACAGCACTTAACAACAACAGTGGTAGAAAGACTGGTTGGTGAATTGGAAGAGGTCTAATAAAGAGGGTATTGAAATAATTTAGATGAAGATGATAAATCATCAAAATTGTGTGATACCAAAACTAAACCCATTGTTGTCTATTCCAATTCATAGCAATCGTATAGGACAGAGTAGAATGGTCCTAGGGTGTTTCCTAGGATATAAGTCTCTGTAGAAGCAGATTGCCAGAGTGTTCTCCGAGGAACAGTTGGTGGGCTTGAACCACTGACTTTCTGGTTAGCAGTTGAGTGTTTTAACCACTGTATTACCAGGACTCCTGATAGGAAATGTACTTGGGGAAAATAACAGGGTAATTCATTATTAGAAATGATAAAAGAAGATTGTTGTTCAGAGCCATTTAGTTGATTCCAACGTATAGCAACCCTGTATAAAGTTTCCGAGGAGCTGCTGGTGAGTTGAACTGCTAACCTTGAGGTTCAAACATTAAAAAAACATGTGGCATTGGCCACAGTAGTGGAAAAGACCCTTTTGCAGGGTGCCCAACTAGCCAAAAAGATGAATCTTACAAAAAGATTGATCACGATTTTAAAATACAAAAGCTAGTGCTATATTCCACTTAAAATATTTTCAGTCTAACAGTTATTTAAAATATAACTTGTAAAACTATAATGAAATACAAATAGTGAGGAATAAATAGTCCAAGGTTAGAATTCAAAAGCAACCAATAAAGTTAACGTAACAGAAGAAATAGTAGGGACAATTCAGAGAGTTGACCAAGGTAGATAATAAACCTTGGAAGCCTAATTTAGAAAGAGTATTCAGTGGTTATTGGTCAGAATATACAGGACCAAGCGAAAGAGAATTTAAAGAAAATGGAGTCAGGCTTTGGGTTTATAAGTAAATCTTCATTTGCTTTTAGGAAAAGTCTCAGAGTAAAATGGCAAAGTACTTTATCTTACTGTCACACTTCCATCCCACCTACACACATACTCCAGGATAACTGATTTTCTCTGATGTGATCTGTTTTACTGTTTTCTTGGATATGATCACTCCATTAGCATTTGATTCTGTTCACCAATCCCTCGTAAAATCACTCTTTGCTTGGCCACCTTGATTCTGCATGTTTCTGATTTTCCTACTGTTACTAGTAACAGCCAACATACCTAACACAATCTGTTTATCACTATTATAACTACTTAATCCCTCATCATATGTTGCTTACCACATCCTTTAAATGTTGTCGGTGTATTCCTCAGAGTCCTTTTCTGTCATCTTTTTCTCCCTAGTCTCTTTCTAGTGAATCCATCTACTCTTGTGACTTCAATTAACATTTTAATTGATAATCTAGATTTTTATTTCTACTTCAGAATCTTCTCCGGATTTCAGACATCTGTCGAGGCACATCTCCACTAATGTATCCCATAAGCACCTCAAACCCAAATGTCTACAAGCTGTGCTCATCTCCTTCTGTACAGTTTCCCATCTCTTGGGAATGGCATCATCGTCCCTAGAGTTAACCAAACCAGAAGACTTAGTTTCATCCTACAGTCATTTCACCTCTCTGATATCATTCAGGTGACAAATGATCAGGACTTAACACATTGATGGAAACAATGAATGAGATCATTTAAAGGTGTTGGGAGAGGTAATTAGTACACCAGTTAGTAATCTGAGAAATATTCCCCTTGGCCCCCTCTTCAAAGAGTCTTGGTGTGGTGCTACAGAATAAATACAGGACCACAAGATTGGTTTGAACCATAAGGTCAGCGGTTCAAACACCAGATGCTCCTTGGAAACACCCTGTACAGGGCTGCTATGAGTTGGAACCAACTCATTGGCACTAAACAAGAGCAACAACTGAGAAGTTTAGGGGAAAAGGACTTCAGAAACCAATTGAGGAGATTAAATTACCATGTTTTATCAATTCTAATGGGTATGTTTTCCCACACATTTTAACATCTCTGAAATTGGGAGACCTGGTAGGACACTGAGCACTGGATTGCTAACTGCAGGGTTGCACGTTCAAACCCACCAGCTGCTCCTTCGAAACCCTGTATAGGGTCTCTGAATAGGAAATGACTCACCGACACTTGACAACAAAAAAATTAGGATGATAGCATCTCTAATATTTAACAGTTTCTATTTACCTCCTTGTTGTTGTTGTTAAGTGCCGTTGAGTTGGTTCCGACCTATAGCGACCCTGTACAGGGTTCCCCAGGGTGTAAATCTTTACGGGAGTGGAAAGCCTCATCTTTCTCCCGCGGAGCGGCTGGTAGTTTCGAACCGCTGACCTTAAGGTTTGCAGCCCGATTCATAACCACTATGCTACCAGAGCTACCTAGTAATAAATGGGTGGTATTAAAAAGTAATCAGTACTTCCTAAGACTGATAGATCAAAAATGGTGTAGAACAGTTAGTTAACGAAATAAAATCTCTCTGGGTGTAGTAACTTAACACTAAGCTCAACCTTTTTAAAATTTCCCTCCAAAAGTAACTGAGATGAATGACTATTGCTACCTTTTGATTTAGAGTTTAGATGAATATTGCTTTTTTATTTTTTTTAACAGGTAGCAGATATCAAGAGAGTTAATAATCTCATCAGCGACCAAGACTTTTTTGCCCTTCGGTCTATCAAAATTCCAGTAAAAAAATTTAGCTCATTGACTGAAACACTTCCTCCAAAAGGAAGACGCCCATCGCCTGTGCAGTATGCTTCAGAACTACAGGACATTTTGCCAGCTAATGATTCTCTTTCTTCCAGTGAGTCAGCTGGTAGCTTTTTAAAAGAAGTGGACCGAGACATAGAACAAATAGTAAAATGCACAGACACCAAACGAGAGAACCTTAATGAGGTGGTATCTGCCTTAACAGCACAGCAAATACATTTTGAACCTGATAACAAAACCACTCAACGTAAGGATCCCTATTATGGGGCAGACTGGGGTATAGGATGGTGGACTGCAGTAGTGATAATGTTGATAGTAGGTATAATAACGCCAGTGTTTTATTTGCTGTATTATGAAATTTTAGCTAAAGTGGATGTTAGTCACCATTCAACAGTGGATTCTTCACATTTGCATTCAGCTGTCACGCCTCCATCACAGCAGAGAGAAATGGAAAATGGAATCGTCCCAACAAAAGGAATACACTTTGGTCAACAAGATGATCATAAATTATACAGTCAGAATTCTCAGTCACCTGCTGCTCAACATAAAACGTAGCAATTAGTTCATTATCATTACTTAGTGATCACCTGTGTGTCTGGACTGTTGCAAATCCAATAACCACTTACAAAGCAGTATTTAGGGAGTCACTTTTTGTTTCTCACTTTTTTTGAGCCATTTACAAGTGAATTGTGTATAAAACCCTAAACTTACTAGTTCATGTTGAGAGCAAGCAAGCAGTCTGTATTTCTGGTATATCACTGCTTAAGGTGGAAGTGGATTTAAATAGGTGTTTAGTGTTTAGGAAGTTCAAAGCTTGGAAAATGTATCAGTTTTTAATTCAAGACCAGTTATGCTTAAATTTTAAGTATTTTTAAAGTTATTGTTAAATTGATTAAGTAGTGTGAATGATGATAGCACCAGAAGTCTGCAACTGGAGAAATTTTACTACAGGGAGCCATCAGAATATTTAGTTGCAACAAAGGTTGATTGATTCTAAAATTACTCAGTACTAATTTTGAAACTTTTAAAAAACATTTAGAACATACATGAAAACAAATGTAGGATCAAATGGGAAAGTAATGTGTAATTGCTATAATAGAGGGTAAGATATAAATGGAATATTTTTGAGGCCCCAAAATAACGTGTTATGGTTGGGAAGCTGTCATTTGGTCACTAGAACACTGGAATAGGTTAAAAGCTAAAAGTGATCTTTGTCTCCTAAAGAACAGTTTGATTCCCTAAGCAGATCCTTTCAGCTCTGCTTCTGCCTGTTTTTAAAATGATTGTATTTGACTCCAATGTTTGAAAGCCCTTCTGCAGTTCTTTAATGAAAAATGTTATACATGAACAAATTAGCATTATGTAGGAAATAATTCCTTACATACTGTGACAAATCACCCTGCTACATGTAATAACATGTCTTAATTATAGTTAATGCCTTAAATTTTCATTTTATGTAAGCCAATATAATTTTTAAATTAAAATTGAGCATTACTTCAGATGATCCACTCAGATTGATTACATAAACTGTATAAATTTAACTCTACCTTTGCTATCAACTACAGGTTAATGAGGTCAGAACACATCTCTATTGTCTGCCTCTGTGGTCTACTGAAGAAAATGGCTCACAAAACAAAAATAAAGCCTTTTGCATTAGCAATGACAAAGTACTTACTGATTCCTTTAACTCTGACTTTCAAAGAGAAAGCACTTGAATTATGGCATCAAATCGGGGAACAGAGACTAACTGTGTAGATTAGCAGGAAGGGCTTAGTGCTGTTGCTGTAACATCGGCTATGGTTCAGCCAGTCTCACTGAGTAAGAAGTATTTGCATATTGGTGTCATTTATTTTTTTAAAGTATGTGTTTTTAAAATGTAAAGAAAATGATGCAATAGAAGTGACCTGAGTCTTGGATTACCTGTTGTGTATAATAAAGTGTGTACTTTAAGATATATAACAGCACCAAATTTTCTGGGCATTATTTTGTAGTTTTTAATATTTCTGTTCATACATCAGTCATTTAATATCTTACACTCTGGCCTTGATACAAAATGGGGTGATTGTATGAGAGAGCTTCAAAAAGTTTGTGGGAAAACTCCACTATCTTTTAATTCTGTTTTTCTATTAACTTTTTGAAGGCCACTTACATAAATAAAGTGGAGTTTTATATACTTTAAAGAGCAAAGCATAATTTACATAACAAGTCAAACAGTAAAGCCCTGTGTTCATAGTTGGGTTTTCGTTTAATACTGTTTATTTTAATGTGCGTTGGGCATCTTGAAAAGATAAGTGTGATCTGTCTAACCTATACTCAGTGTTAACTTAGTTTACATTGCATTTATTAAGCCTGCTGAAAAATCAAGTTTAGGAAAGAATACAGGGTACAGGGTACTAGATGTCCTTTGAAGAACATTGATTCTGTCAAATTGATGACATTTGCTCAAGTCATTGATTCCTTTTTCCTTTTTGCTAGTGTTGCTTTGAAATTATGGAGGGCTCTGGTTTCCAAAATAACTAACTTATTTTTAAAGTAATGGGGTATACGGTGCACTTGTTAGTTAAAAACTCTTTGTCTTGCAGAGTATCTTTTTTGAAGGAAAAACAACTAATATCTTTATGACACAACCAGGCAGTTTTTGTATTTCTGTATATTTATATGTTTTGTAGTTAATGGAATTATATTTAATTGAATTATGTATAATTCTGTGTATATATACTACATATGTGTGTATATATGTATAATTCTAGATTATAACCTGTCATTTTAGAAAAATGTTCTAAGCATCTAATAGATTGTATAATTTTAACTTTCAAAAAGTACTAATAATAATCTAAGATGTAGCAAATGCAAATTACTTTGTAGAGCAATAATAAGTACACAGTTGTTTGCTTGTGAATTTTAACTATATTTATAGAGATTCTTACTTGAACTCATTTTGAAGCTCTATTTACATTAGTAAATAGATGTCTATCTGACACCTTAGCAAATGGAAAAGTAACCATATCATTGCATTTGGCTCACTTAAAAATTTTTTGGTACAAATAAAAAATTGATTATTTTCAGGGCAGGTTTCAAACAGTCTGCGTAGACATGGTTGTTTTGAATTTATGGATGTCATTTGACTTTAACAGTGTTTCCTACCCCACACCCAGGAAATTGTAAAATTCTTATCTTCATTAAAGCATATATTTCTACAGCAAATAAAGCTTAAGATACTTTGATGGCAACATTAAGGATTAGTAAGAAGACTAAGAAAGCTTTTATTTTTTAAAGATATTCTTTTTATGGACTCTACCTGGTTGTTCAGTGGACTGAACAGATCTTTAAGTGAACCACTACATAGTAATTAGTTCTTTTTAAAGGTATCACTCAGAAAGGACCTAATTGGATATATGAAGGATAAGATAGTTAGTCTTAAAAATACTTAATCAAGAATCCAATCAAAGTGTTACAGGGTAAAGGTAGAAATTTTTAGTTTATATTAAATGGTGCATTATGATAGAAACCATTCTTAATTTGAATTTCAGCAGTGTTGCTCAGGAAATCAGTATTTTTCTTCCAAGTATGTGCATATTGCACTCTTACATCATAGAAATATCTGCTTTATTTAATTCTTTTTATGTATGCAAATATTATAAATTTTTGTATATGTATTTTATACAAATGCAAATGTAATTTAAAAATATATATTAGAGTGTATACCTGTAAAACTGATTTTTAAAACTTTTCATATTTTAAAAGATATGCAAAATATAATAAAGTTTCTATTTTATTATTTAGTCAAAATGGTAGCTGGTGAATTTAATTGAAACAAATTACATTTTCACAACTATCTGACTACAAGTATTGTGTAAGATAGATCAAATTGCTACAAGTTTACCAATTCAGATTTCCTGCTTGTTACAGTGGAACAAATAGCACAGGAGTACTTACAGGAAGTACATGAAACCAAACAGGTTCTTGAGAAATACTCCTTTGTGGTCTTCCTCAGGGAAGAAGACCCAGTGAGGCATCCTTCATGATTTCTTAGTAAGTCTTGGACAACAGTCACATAACAAAAAGCAAACCCACTGTCATTGCGATTTCTATGTAAACATAATGAAACAAACAGCAACAACAAAAATCCTTAAACTTCAGGTTTTAGAAATTACCAGTAACAAAAAGAATTAAGAAAGTTTTTTATTTATCCAATGACAGACTGAATGTGGAAAGTTTTGCTAATTTATTCTGGAGTCTTTTAAACTACATAAGATACAGTCATTTAGACCATACATTTGAAGGTGGATAGTAAGGAAAGAGTTAACAAGATCCTTTGAATTGGCATTCTCTGGTTTCCAGTGAAGGAGTCCTTCCCTTGCAGTGGTGAAAGACTTGGTTGCTAACTGAGTGACTGAGCCTATCAGCTAATTCCCATGGGAGAAAGAACGCAATCTGCTTTTATGAAGATTGTTGTTATGTGCCTTGGAATCGGTTCCAACTTATAGCGACCCTGTACAGGGTTTCTGAGGCTGTAAATCTTTATGGGAGCAGAAAGCCTTATCTTTCTCCCTTGGAACAGCTGACCGTGAGATTAGCAGACTGATTTGTAACCACTATGCTACCAGAGCTCCTTTTCATGAAGATTTAATTACAGGGTTGGAAACCCAATGGGGCAATTCTATTTTGTCCAAGCTGCAACCAACTTGATAGCAATCTTCCTTCCCCACCCCTCCCAATCCAAGTGTCAACCGGTGATTATACTAATATAACCAAACCAAACTTGTTGCCTTCAGGTCAGCTACTGGATTGGTGAGTTCAAATCTCTGACTTTTCAGTTAGCAACTGAGCACTTAACTGCACCACTAGTTCCTTGTACTAATGTACTGATTGCTAAATTTGCTACCACAACTTTAACCTTAACCACAAATCTAGACTTTGATTGGTGGGATGGTTTGCTCAAGAATATGATGCTGAACATCCCTGTTCAATAAATTCATTGCTACTTTATTAGGTGAAACTTTTATTAATAAATTAATTCTTTATACTAAATAAGTATCATACATTTAAGTAGGTTCAAAACAAGACATCTTAATACAAAAGAAACTATTTTGTTGAGAATGGTAAACAATACAGAAAAATAGCAAAGCAACAAAGTTTTGCTTGTTACATAGCAATTTTAAAGACACAAGAAATGTTTTAGTTTCCCTTCCTATTATTAAAAATAAATGTGCAGAGAAACACCAGAAATTATATTTATTGTGAATAAATACGATTCTCAAGTCAAGCAGCATCAACCCAAAAGTATCCAAAGAAGGGTACAGTCAAAGCAGGTATATAGATGGGTCTGGGGAGGGTGGCTCTATAGGTTAATGTGCTGGACTGCAAAGTTGGTTTGATCTGCAAAGTTGGCGGGCCAAGCTCACCAGAAGCTCCTGGAGAACCCTACTTGACGGCTCTTGACGATGGTGATGACAACTGGCAGTGTCCTCAGTTGTTAAGTTCTGTTGAGTCACTTTTGACTCATAGCAACCCTGTGTAGGGTTTCTGAGGTGCAGCTGGTGGTTTTGAACTGTTGACCTTTCAGTTAGCAGTCCACTGCTTCTCCCACACCTCCTGACGGTCATTATAAATTCCTTCCATGTTGGTTTCTCAGAACAAGTTC